GAAGGATCTGTTGCCCATTTCTTAAAAAATTAAAAAATCAAGGGAAGGATAAATGTCGTTTTACATCCACTATTAAGAAAATATTAAAAATTTAAACATAGGGGCCTAGCTAGGCTCCATTTCCTGGTGAATGGTGAACGTTTGGCTTAAGCTTATTCAAACTCATGATAATATAAAGGGATCGTCTAGGGGAAGCTGGAGATAACGGAGGATATTGTTGTTTATTAAATGTTATAATGCCATTTTTTTTAGAAAAAAAGAAGAAGAAGAAAAGAAATAGTTTCTTTTATCAAAAAGGACACACCTATTACTATTTACAAAGTGGGGTTTATTTGTATTGTTTAACTAATCAACTAATCTTCATAAGCATGCTTAGTTGTAGAAAAATTTTGATATCATAAAAGTTTGTATCCCTATTCTAACTAACATTTTAGACAATTTAATAAAAATTAATAAATTTATCAAATTCATGGATTTTAGTTGAAGAGAAAAATAAATAACAAATGAACCAACCCATTAGATTTACTAATTTATCATTGAATATTAAGTGTTTAGATTCAAATAGATTAGAAGTTCTACTCTAATGCACTACTTGAAAAAATATTTTTTTATCTCTCAAATTTTCTAATGTTAAAAAAATTGACAAAAAAAAATAAAACACAAATTCAAAAGTAAGTGACAAATTACAAATAATAAATAATATTTAAATGAATGAAGACAAGCGGAAGCAGGGGTATTTATGTGAATTGAGAAAGATAAATAAAATTTAATGCAACAAGAAGAAGAAAACGAAAACCGCAGTTAAAAAATCTTAACTCGGGTAAAACCACACTTCGAGTCTATCCATTCCTGTTACATAGGACAATACGCGTACTGCCATATATATAATCAAAGTCTCTCCTTTTCAGTCTCGCGTTCATTCTTTCTCTATTGAAAATCCAACGCATCATCCATTTTCTTCTCTTTCTACTTTATCCTCAGCCTCTTCTAACCCGACTCCGCCGATTCCGTTCCAGCAACCGCCGCCGATCGCCGCCGTAATACTCCACCACAGCCGCACCGGCAGGGTGAGCTCTGTCACTTTTTCAACGGTGTCGCTTTCTCTCTCTCTGATCTACTGTTTATTGACTCCACATTAGTTTTTGTTTGAATTTTCTTCTCTAACCGTTTGGTTGCCGAGAAAACCAAGGAAATGAAAGAGAGATGGAGGCTTAGATCTTGTATGTTTTCTTAAGTTTTCGTTTTTTTTTCCCCCAGGAATCAGGTTATGTCTGTTTTAGTTCAGTAGGAGTTGTTGATCTAACAATCTTTTTAATCCTTCAATTAAAAGATATTTGTGCTGATACTTTCAAATTTACATTATAGAATTTTAGGTTCTTATAGTGTGGATTTTACCATATATTTTGCCTTAATTTCTCTATAAATTATAGTATATTCGGATTTTAATTTGTCTAAGTTTTGTCTCTTAATTCTGATCGGGTTAGTTCTTGCTTTGAACCCTATGCACCTCATCTTCCCTCAAAACTTTAATCATTCTTGGTTTGGACTTAGCCCATTTTTAAAACCCCTGTCCCTAGACTGCAATAGATCTTCTGGTTGGTTTTATTTTGAATTTTAGAAATTTCTAGATTTGCTTGATGTATTTTGGTGCATCCACTAGTGTGGCACAAATTGAGCCTAGTTTCTTATTTCAGTTGGCAGTCTTTCCTATTGGTCTTCAAGTTGCGGCTTTCATTTGAGGGAACGTTATTGAATGATAGGACTGGACTTTGCTTCTGACAATATTTCTATGATATAGCTAGGTCTGCCTTTGAAGTATTCATGGCTTGCTGTTTGCTTGAGAGTGATGTATTTATTCTAAGTGGTGATTGATGGGAGGAGTTTGTTTTAATTCATCTATTCTTGAAAGTATAAACATATTTACTCTGTTCAATTGATTCGAGAAATCTTTTTATTTAATATGACCTATTGCTTCTTTGGTTATGGCGAACTAAATTCATGTCTGTTTGTTTGTTTTCTTTTTTTCTGGGTTAGGTTTCTCAACATTTGTGTGGAAAAGTTTCTGCTAGCAAGGGTCTTGTTTGCATGAACAAGCTGTTTAAAAGCTATTTCTAGTGATGGCATCTATGTCTTGTGCAAACCTTTTAGACTTGGCCTCTGGGAACTTACTGGATATTCCGCAAACTCCAAGAGCTCTTCCTCGGGTAATGACTGTACCTGGAATTATCTCTGACTTGGAGGATGGGGATTCGGACGGTACTTCATCTGTTTGTCGGGAGCGAAAAATTATAGTGACTAATATGTTACCTTTACATGCTAAAAGAGATGCAGAAACATCTAAATGGCGCTTCAGCTTGGATGAGGATTCAATTTATTTACATCTGAAGGATGGCTTTTCTTCTGAAACAGAGGTCATTTATGTAGGATCTCTCAAGGTTGATATTGATGCTGCTGAACAGGAAGAAGTTGCCCAAAAATTGTTGGAAGATTTCAATTGTGTTCCTACATTTCTGCCCCATGATCTGCTGAAGAAATTTTATCTTGGTTTCTGTAAACAGCAGTTATGGCCTCTTTTCCACTATATGCTGCCCATGTGTCCAGACCATGGCGATCGGTTTGACCGCTTTCTTTGGCAGGCTTATGTTGGTGCAAATAAGATATTTGCTGACAAGGTGATGGAAGTAATTAATCCTGATGATGATTATGTTTGGATTCATGATTATCATTTGATGGTCCTACCAACATTCTTAAGGAAACGCTTCAACCGAGTCAAGCTTGGTTTCTTTCTTCACAGTCCATTTCCATCGTCAGAAATATTCCGAACGTTGCCTGTTCGAGATGAGATTCTGAGGGGTCTGCTCAATTGTGATCTAATTGGTTTTCATACGTTTGACTATGCACGGCATTTCCTGTCTTGTTGTAGTAGAATGTTGGGCCTCGACTATGAATCTAAACGGGGACACATTGGTCTTGATTACTTTGGCCGCATGGTATACATTAAAATTCTACCTGTAGGAGTTCATATGGGCCGGCTTGAATCAGTGTTAAATCTTCCCTCTACAGCGGCCAAGATCAAAGAGATACAGCAACAGTTTGAGGGAAAAATTTTAATTCTTGGTGTAGATGATATGGACATCTTCAAGGGTATCAGTCTCAAATTACTGGCTGTGGAACACCTCTTGAAGGAGCATCCAGACTTGCATGGCAAGGTAGTCTTGGTTCAGATTGTGAATCCTGCAAGGGGCTCAGGGAAGGATGTCCAGGAAGCAAAAAGAGAAACCTATTTAACTGCACAAAAGATCAATGAGGCTTATGGTTCACCTAATTATAAGCCAGTTATTCTGATTGATCGTCCTGTTCCTCGTTATGAGAAGTCTGCTTATTATGCTATGGCCGAGTGTTGCATAGTAAATGCTGTGAGGGATGGGATGAACTTGGTCCCTTATAAATATATTGTTTGCAGGCAAGGAACTCCACGTATGGATGAAGCTGTGGGTGTAAAGGCAGATTCCCCTCGAATGAGTATGCTTGTTGTGTCTGAGTTCATTGGCTGTTCCCCTTCTTTAAGCGGAGCAATTAGGGTTAATCCATGGGATGTTGATGCAGTAGCTGAGGCTTTAAATGTGGCCATTACCATGCCTGACGCAGAGAAGAAATTACGGCATGAGAAACACTATCGATATGTCAATACTCATGATGTGGCTTATTGGGCTCGCAGCTTTTCACAGGATTTGGAGAGAGCTTGCAAAGATCATTATAGCAAACGCTGCTGGGGGATTGGTTTGGGCCTTGGGTTCAGAGTTCTGTCTCTTTCTCCTAGTTTTAGGAGGTTGGCGACTGACCATATTGTTTCAGCCTATAAAAGAACAAATAGACGAGCCATATTCCTGGATTATGATGGTACTGTTGTTCCTGAAACTTCCATTATTAAAACTCCAAGCCCCGAAGTAATCTCTATCTTGAAGACTCTTTGCAGTGATCCTAAGAACACTGTGTTTATTGTCAGTGGGAGGGGGAGAGATCCCCTTAGTGAGGGGCTTGCTCCCTGTGAGATGCTGGGAATAGCAGCTGAGCATGGGTACTTCATGAGGTATGGTAATTAAAACATTGGTATTTATATAGTAATTTAAATTCCGTAAAATTAAAATAAAACTGGATTTCTTACGTTTTCCTTCTTCAGATGGAATAAAGCCTTTGAGTGGGAAACTAGTCCCATGGCAGCTGACCTTGAATGGAAAAAAATTGTGGAACCTGTAATGAGACTATATACAGAGGCAACAGATGGTTCTAACTTAGAAATTAAGGAGAGTGGTCTAGTATGGCACCATCTAGATGCAGATCCTGACTTTGGGTCTTGCCAAGCCAAGGAGTTGCTGGATCACCTAGAGAATGTACTTGCTAATGAACCAGCAGTTGTTAAGAGGGGCCAGCAAATTGTTGAAGTTAAGCCACAGGTATTGGACTCAAGCATTTCCACTTCCCCCTATATTCTCTCTCTCATTCATGTGCTTGCACAAATGTTTGGAACCTTGCATGCATATTTGAAGCAATCTTCTCATGAATGTTTTGTGCAGGGAGTAAGCAAAGGACTGGTTGCTCAAAAGGTTCTCTCAACAATGGTAGATAGTGGGAAACCACCTGATTTTGTGATGTGTATTGGCGACGATAGATCTGATGAAGACATGTTTGAAAGCATATTAAGCACGGTTTCGAATCCATTGTTGCCTGCAGCTCCAGAAATATTTGCATGCACTGTTGGGCAAAAGCCAAGCAAAGCTAAGTATTATCTTGATGATCCTGCAGATGTATTAAAATTGCTTCAAGGGCTTGCGACTGCTTCAAGTTTGAAGCCCAGACATCATACTGAGGTCCCAGTTTCTTTTGAGAGTTCTGTTTGAGTCGAACATATTTCCTGGCTCCGATATACCATTTCAATCCATTGGCGCTGTTGACATGCTTCAACGGATTTAGGGTTTTAAGGTCCATTTATCTGTACAAGTCTAATGCACAGTGATGATGATTTCATGTCAGATCCTCAAATAGTTCACTTGGTCGATTTTCAATGTTTGGAAGATCTGACAGCGTTCTTGTATATCTTCATGTGAGTCAGGTACTGGGATTTCACATTGTCTATAACAGGCTTCTTACCGTCAGGTGTAACAGTTTAACTTGTATAGATACACTGTTTTTTCTAATACAGGATGCCAATTTGATTCGAGTATCATCCATTGATAACTTCCCGGTTAGTTTTCATTTGCAAGTTTTAAACAATGAACACATGCAGATATCCGATTTAAAGAATCCTTTTCCTTGAAAGAAGCAAAAGAGAATAGCATAAAGAAAGAAACCTCATCCACACACCAAATGCAAGGTGTCTTTTTTTTTTTGGGGTAGAACCCAAATGCAAGGTGTCTGTTCCGCCATCTTTTTCCTTTTCTCTCTTTTAGCTTACCTTTGAGTTTTGGAAGTATAATGATAGGTGGAAGCATGAACTTTCGAGCTTCATTTCAAATGATGTTCTACTTGTTGGTATTCAACCCCACCTTTTAAAACAACATAGCATGTGAACACGTTTGAAGATAAATTAAACAATAATCCTTCTTTTAAAAACCGTTTTTACTGCTTAAAGTTAAAAAGTTAAGACCTTTCAAATATACAAACGGACTCTTAACCACTGACATTCCCAAAAGACAACTCATTTGCTCTCTTGCTTATTTCACCATAATTGGCAAGATATGAGCATAGCATTGCGTCAATATTTGTTAGCCGCCATAGTTTTTGTCTCCATTGATCTCTGGAGAAAAGCTATGTATATATATGTGTGTATATATATATTATTATAAAGAAATCGTAAGGTCGGTTATTGAGAAAAAAAAAAAAATAATAATAAATAATGGGATAATGGGGTTGTAGACAGGCGTGAGGTTGGTTGGCCATTTTCTGTTTCTGTATCGAAGACATGCGCTGCGCGCAAGGCAGACAGCCGACGTGAAATCGTGAATGTTATCGTCATTGTTTTACGTGGCTTTATTAATGAAACAGACTTGCTATGGGCCATAGATTAAGCAATTCAAATTTGTCAGGCCCATCGTCATCAATGACTTTGCTTCCCGACAGGGTCAGGTTTTGTGGGCTCGGCTTATAAATACTAGTGAGAGGATTTTCTGTTTTAGTTATTAATAAGTTATATAAAAAAATAAATTTTAATAATTAATTAAATAAATTAATATAAGCAATATTGATATTAAAATTAATATTATTTTTTTATTTTTATATAAATTAATGATTAAAAAATATATTAAATATACCTTTAACCTGTTTTTTAAAAGTACAAATTAAAAAATCTTTTTTCGATAAATATTTTATTTACCTTATAATATGAGTTGTGATGCAAAATTGCTAATTTAAGACTTTGTTTTTTAGTGGTTTGTATAGAAAAATTTCACGGTATTTGATTTAAATATATAAATTTATAATTCTTAATTAATTGTAAGTAATTATATATTTTTTATTAACCTTAATTAATATTTATATGATTTCAAAATAATAAAAAAATTAAAAAAATGTAATACTACAATACAAAACAGACAAACAAAGCCTCGGCCTAATCAAAGCCGCTTGAATGGGACATTACTAATGTCCAAAAAATACCAAGCTTTTGTAGATTCATTCCATGGGAGTCTTAACGGCAAGACATACTCAAGTGGATGGAGGCTTTATGTTGTTGAAAAATACAAAAAGAAGAAGTAGATGCATGGCACCAGGACCACAAGGGCACTCACACTATAAATTTTGCAATGAATGTCATGGTGAATGACACATGAATCCGCACCTTGACTGGTAGATAGTTACTCTCCAATGAGAATTGAACCTACCTACCTTTGGCTAATGATGGCCAAGTTGGTCAAGTTACTAAAACTTGGCATGCAAGAATGATACCTCCCTCTGTTGTCACATAGGTATACTTAATTTTTTTCCATTGTGAATGTGGAATCAAAATTTCCAAACTTGTTTTTCTAAGAGTTTTTTGTTCTGTAATTTAGAATGTATTAAATTATAAAATATAATTAGATGAAAAATAACTTTCAAAATTAGAGGATCCACTCTCTATCCAATAGTTTTAATTATATAATTTAATATAATTTAAATTACACCAACGGTTTATTGATTTAAGTGAAAAAAATTTAATTCTCTTTAAATAATATCTTAAATTTGAGTATTATAAACGAAAACATAATAGTTAGGAGAACCTTTCTTTTATGAATTTTAACCGGACTCGATTTTAAATTAATTGAAATCTAATATGACTTTCAAATATTAGAGATTTAATAAAATAAAATGTAATTCAAACTACATCATGCATGAAATTGTACAATACTTTTTATTTTTATTTTTTTAATGTAGCATCAATGTTTAGGAATTGTTAGCCCATTTAGGGTTTTCGTTCAAAGATTAGGAAAAACCAAGAAAAGCTAACGTGAGTTATTGTAAAAGTTATCAGGACAGTGGGCCATTGTTGTGAGTTCACCGTGTGATAAGTATAAAATCCCATATGGATGAGTTAATAGGAAACCTTTATAATTAAATACAACTTGAATTTCGTTATTAATTACTAATTGGTGCCTTTTTTTTATGCTTATATGTATTAATATTCAATTGCTATTGTATTAACCATCTGAGAAAATAATCCTTAATGAATTATACAATAGGATAGCTCTTTTCTCTTCTTTTTTTTTTAATTCTATTTCTACTTATTTCAGGATTTTAACTTGATATCTAATTATTGTATAATTTAAAATTTTAAGCTTTTAATTACTCCCTTTGGGCTTTTTGCAGTGGAGATTATAAATATATAAAAGCACCTTTAATAATTTAAGACACAATGAATATTTTATTAAAAGCGTTTGAGTACATTGACATTCACACCAGGATTGCATATCATAGAAAAAGGAGAGCAGGTCTCTGGAAGGGTAGGAGTCTGGAAGAAGCAAAACTATCAGTGGCAAGACCAAAATCCCAATAGAGAGGCCCAGGTGTGAAGAACACAGCAGCCAGCCAGCCAGCCAGCCAGCTAGCATGGAGGTAGGTGGGGAACCGGGAATGAATGTAACATTGTTGCTATTTTTGTTTTTTTAATATATAAACTGTTGCATTAATGCATTAATCACATTTAATCCCCCATGATTCTGCGTTGCCTTTTTCCAATCTTTTCTTGTCTCTTTCTTCTCTCCCTTTCTCCCTATCCCTTTCCTTAACACAGTTCCACTCTCACTCCCTATATTCCTTCACAAGCACACACCTTTTTGATTTTCAGTGGGAACTAAAAAGAACCCACAAAGCAAGCACATTGTTTTACTCTGTTGCTTATACTCCGCTTTACTTTTTTTGCACAAGACCCAGGTAGAAGCTAGGGTTTTTGGTGTAGTGTAGAGCTTGAATCTTGCATATCTTGGCTCATTCTTTTGGTTTGTTTTGATAAAAGAAGTAATGGGTAAGAATGTGGTGCTTCTGGGTTTTGCACTTTTGCTTCTTCTTGGAGGTGTATCTTCAGCTCCTAGTGCTACTTCACCTGCAAGTAAGTGGCTGTGCTAGCTTCTTTGAAACTGGTTTTGTTTGATCTATTCTTGGGTTTGAGCTTGAATCTTGCTTTGGTGATGAATGCATTTCGTGGTTTCTTTTCTTTTGCAGAGATTGTTAATGGGTTTGTCTCCAATGCTCTGTCTGCTTTTATGAAATGGATGTGGTCACTCAAAACAACCACTAAAACAGGTTCAGATCTTCAATTTCAGTACCCACATTTGCTTTCAAAATTTTCTAAATTTTATTTTAATTTGGAGATTTGCATCTGAGAGGTTGGGGTACATGGAGTTTGTGTGTACAGCCGTTTCTGGCCGTTCCATGATGAAGTTTGAGGGTGGGTATACCGTGGAGACGGTGTTTGATGGAAGCAAGTTGGGGATTGACCCATACTCAGTCGAGGTGCTGCCTAATGGGGAGTTGCTGATTTTGGACTCTGCCAATAGCAACATTTACAGGATATCTGCTTCTTTATCTCTGTGTAAGTAGCTTTCTTGGAATAATGCTTGACCGTTTTCCCTTTTTCGTTTTTTTTTTTCTCACTCCTGTTGCTGGATTCCATTTTTATTTTGTTTGGTACTAATTTTATTGAGTATGACCATGTTATTATACATTTTACTCTACCAATCATCCAACTGTTAGTAATTAAGTTGTTTCATTTCTGTATCAGATGTGGAAATTCTGCTTCTTTTGACTAGATTTTTTGTGTAGTTATTTTGGCATTTATAGTCATGTTGGAATTATAATATCATGATCTTTACTTGCCTTGCGTTTGCTTGTATTTCTATGATGGATATTTTGCTATCATTCCTAGAAAACACACTAGGCACTCAATTTAGTTCTTTTGTCAGTCAGTTCTGGAAACCTCGTCCTATTCTTGCTCTCTGATATTCATACATTGTCCCTTGAGATAACTTTCTGATGGAAAGCTGTTTCAAGCAAATGGGCATCTGCATTGTTTCATTTTTCAATTTTACATTTTGTGTGACATCTTTAACACGTCAATGCTTTGCAATGATAAAATTTTGTTATCATATCTGATTGGATATTTTATGGACTATTGTTTTCAATGATTTTCAAAACTAATTCATGGGAGAACTTCAGTTAGCCGACCAAAGCTTGTTGCTGGATCCCCTGAAGGATATTCTGGACATGTAGATGGGAAGCCAAGAGAGGCAAGGATGAACCACCCTAAAGGGCTAGCAGTAGATGACCGAGGAAATATCTACATAGCAGACGCAATGAATATGGCAATCAGGAAGATAAGTGATGCAGGTAAACATTGTCATCGTCCCGTCAACCAGAAGCAAGTTTCTGGTTCACTTTATTTATTTTATTTAATTTATTATTGGTGGTCTGGTTCACTTGTTATTTTAACTGAACTGTATAAATTTCTCACTTGTTTTCTTACTGTGCTTTTGTCATGCCTCTATATATATATTATCTGTATGCTATATATTACCAAATTTGGTCATTTTATTCTATTTTCTCACTCTCAGAAATTAAAATAGGGTTTTTCTTTGGCAAGCTTAGCAATTAATGAAAGAAAACATGTCCCATTTTGCTTAATGTACTAATTTTAATGAGTATGCTATTGTTGGAGTAAGAACTGGGATTGCAGTGACCTGTTGCTGATATGGTTCAAATATTCCTTCAGGTGTTACAACTATTGCTGGTGGGAAATGGAGCCGGGGAGGGGGGCATGTTGATGGACCAAGTGAAGATGCAAAGTTTTCTGATGATTTTGATGTGGTTTACATTGGAAGTAGTTGCTCCCTACTTATCATAGACAGAGGAAACCAAGCTATCAGAGAGATTCAACTCCATTTTGATGACTGTGCTTATCAATATGAAAGTGGTTTTCCCCTTGGTGAGCGAATCCACCTAAAATTTATATTTATTAGTTCTTTTTACGAATCTTTATATGTTATAATTTCGTTATTGCAGGAATTGCAGTGCTGATTGCTGCTGGATTCTTTGGCTACATGCTTGCTTTGCTGCAACGAAGATTGGGCACCATTGTTTCTTCCCAAAATGTCAGTATATGCTCTGGTTTGTTTATTTTACATGCAAATCTCTGCATCCTTTCCCTTTGTGATATATCAGTGTAATGCCTGTCATCTTTACCTGAGCATACGATTCTCATTTGAAAATTTTACAGTTGTCTTTTGCTCCAGCTGAGCTTGGTACAAAAATGTAGATCTAGGAAATTTGAGAGAGAGAGAGAGAGAGAGAGAGAAGCCTCTCTTCTTTTGTTGAAACCACTTCCTTAAAATAGCTGGATTGATGCACCAGTTGTTTTTATATTATTCATCATGGAAAAGGCACTAGGAGCTTTAGTTTTAGGTCAGGATTTAACTTCATCTAAGATATGGTGGAACATTTTTTTAACCTTTCCTCCTTATGCTCATGAAGGATCAGAGCACAGTGAACATGAGCACCATGTCAAGTCCATATCAGAAGCCCCTGAAATCAGTCAGGCCACCTTTGATCCCAACTGAAGATGAACAGGAAAATCAAGAAGAAGGCTTCTTTGGATCCCTTGGGAAGCTTTTTGTCAATGCTGGGGTGTCTGCAATGGAAATTCTGGGGGGAATATTCCCTCGTTTTAGGAAGAAGCAACTAAGGTATCACCAGCAACAACAGATGCCCTCAACAACCTGGCCTGTGCAAGAGAGCTTTGTCATACCAGATGAAGACGAGCCCCCTCCAATTGACATCAGAACCCCAACCCCAAGGAAAACTTATGCTTTCATGTCCAAGGATGCAGAAAAGATTCATCTACTGCGTCAGGGTGTGGGCTTCTATGGTGGGTGGGATGCTAATGTCCAGCAACAGCATCATCAGCATCGGTATCTATCAGCCACCCCACACACACACACTTACCATGAGCAAAGCTATGAGAAAACCAATGAGACTGTCTTCGGAGCAGTTCAAGAGCAGAATGGAAAACAACAAGCAGTCGTTAAGCCTGTCAATTATGAAGACCCCATTTACAATCATCAAAACATCCGCTTTCGACGCAGTCTGGGTTACAACAATGGCTATTGATCATACGGAAAAGTGATTTTGAAGGTATAAATCAATTCCTTCTTGAAATTAGCCCTTAAAAGTTTAGGGGTATAAGTGTTAATATTTGGAGGCGGCTCTGGTGTAAGGCAAAAGTCAGTTTTACATAGATCTGTCCAAGACATTGTAGGGCAGCTGGTATTATATATAAATGGAATCCTCTTTTCCTTGATTTTGATTTCTTCTCCAACTCTCCGATATATGATATACATTTTAAAATATCCATAATTGCGAGAGAGGCATTAAGAATTGGAAGATTTTGCAGTCATATGATTGCAACTTCACAAAGGTTTGAATCTTTATTGGTCTAAGAACTCTTTGCACCAGCAGGCATGTCACTCATGACCGTTTTAGCATCGTTATGTATCAGAAGGTATGGTATGGCACGGGGCGTTGGTCATTTATACCTTCAATTCAGCTACGTTCATGTTTTATCTCCTACCACATGTGGAACCACCATATCCACTTAGGTAGTTTCTGGCAGCTGCTTCTGCTGAACGTCGTAGACAGTTAAAAGACAATGTAAGAACACAAATAATAACAAAAACCAAATTCTCATTTAAACTACGGCTATAAACATCCTGAGCTAGTTACATAAAAACTACATATAATCTGAAAAGGACGTTCGCATTAGGTACTATAGCAGGTCCCTAACACTGTCATGAAAACTTAAGGAACACATGCAGCTGAATTTCTTTCAAAAAATTTCTTTTAGAGCTGAGGTAAGTATGACTCCTAAACAAGTTTTGCCCATCTTGACGTTCTGTTTTGTTTCAATAGTGAAAATGGTACTATAACTTTACCAACCAATGACATATTAAAATATAAAGATTCTTTTGATAATATGTAACATTATATGTATTTATTAGTTTAATATTACATTATAATTGCACATGAGTTTCGTACTTAATGACTACATGCCTTATCGTAAGGTACATCATTCAATTTTCAAGTTATAATTTGACTCCATTTTTCTTAAATTACAATTTGTTCAAATAAAAATATTACATTATAATTATTATTTTATAATTTTATATAATATTATAATTATATCATTTTTGTTTCACTAGCCTGTAGCCCCGCCAATTGTTGTTAACTTCTAAAACGCTCCACATTCAATCACTTCATAATTGGCTCAAACTAGCCCTTACAATTAGCATATTTTGTCAGATCAGCCCTTCTACAAAATTTTGTCATTAATTAGTATTTCCGCTTCAATTTGGAGGCAAATCCACTCCTTTGCTGATAATTTTGACTTTTCTAAACTTATGTTGACTTTGTACTTGAATCTTGCGACTTAAATATTTTACATAAACATCATTTCTACAAAACATCTAACACGTTTTCTAGTTGAAATTTAATCTTCTTAATTCATGTATTAACCACACTAATCTCTTATATTCTCAGTGCAATGCAATCATACAACGTGCATTTCTACGGAACATTTCTATGCAACTATCATATTCACATATAAGAATTCTTCTCAAGTTTTTTAATTTAGTTCATACATGTATCATACTCACGTAAATATAACAAATATTTATTAATGATATTCAAAGTAGTACATGAAGCAAAACATTTAAGAAGATTGAAGGAATTGAACTTAAGAGACAAGCATACTCACATAAACATAACAAATATTTATTAATGATATTCAAAGTAGTACATCAAGCAAAACATTTAAGAAAATTGAAGGAGTTAAACTTAAGGGCCCATTTGGTCTAGCAATTTTAAGGTAACAGTTAGCAGTTTTATTTAAATTGCTAAATATAAGTGTTTGGTAAATTTATATATTTTGAAACCGTTACAAATAAAGTGTTTGGTAAAATTTTTATTTAGCAGTTAGAGACTAGAGGATAGCAATTAGGGTCCAAATCGCTAACGGATTGAAAAAGTTAGTTTATATAATTTTTTATACCAAACCGTTAGCATATTAAAATTTTTTAATTTTATTGACAAATTTATTCATTTTAATTTTTTAATTTGTGGTCACATTTTTTAATTAATAGTTATCTAATAAATTTCAATTTTTTTT